TATATATATATATAGATAGATAGATAGATAGATATCTTTGTTCTGGCCATCTTAAATCTTGTTTAGCCAAAATTTGCATAAAGCATTGGCTTGATCCAATAATCAAAGGCAACCCTAACCCATTTGAGCTTAGTCATACCAATTCGATTCAAATAGATAAACTCAATTGATTTAATATAATTGACCACAAGTGATTTAATAGATTACCCTAAGCCATCTTAATCACAACCTTGATGAAATAAAGGGAAGAACTAGCTCACTTCAATCAATTTTAAAATAACAACAATTAATACAATTATAGCATTCTTTTTTAGCTCCTTTTGGCTTTTAGAAAATTTCAAGAGCTTATGGCAGTGTTTTTTAGTGCCTTGGAAACTTTTGTTGCTATTTTTCACAATGAAATTATTCTTTCCGTTCACCTCTTCATCATTGGTTGAATTCCCATTTTCACCCCTTTTTTGGGATAGACTTTTCCATTCATCTTGATGGATATTCTAGCTTTATTACTGTCAAATTTTAGTTTCTCGTTAGTAGTATTTCAACTCTTTGGAGTACTATTCTTTGTGGCCGAGGGGAAGAATTGACTCAATGCAATTACCTGCATTTAAGCTATCAAATTTGAGTCACTAGTTGTGTTAACTTAGTTAAATATTATTTGCATTTAATGTCTTTTTATCATGTCTATAATCTTGAACGTCCTTATACTTTGTTTCATTTCATATTGTTATCATTTTTATTTTGTCAGGTTTTAGAGTAAAATTGCTATTTTCCATTTAGATGTGTTTGTTGTATTTTGAATGTTATTAGGGTTAACATGATAAGGAAATTATGGCATATATTTTAAACAGGAAACCTTTCGTTGTAATGGAAGATGGCTAAAATGTCTTTTGTACATATGTGGTCTCCATCAATGATCCTCCCTTTGGCAACACTCTGAATCCAACACCTATCATTTTCTGTCCTGTCAACTCTTCCTTTTTATACACTGGGAGAGTTTAACATTTAGCTTTTAAAATATTATGACAAACTCTTTATTTTAATATTAACATTTGTCTTTATCCTTTTGCCAAATAGTTGGCAAAGTGCAAAAATACTATCACTTCTGTGTCTCATCATTTGCCTCATCCTTATTTAGGATTGGCTTTATGAACTCCACTTTTCTATCTTTATTATTGACTACTATTTTAGATTTTGGTTCCAATTTAGTCGAGTATGTAACTTTTAGCCATATTACTTTCAGTCAACCAATTTTTTCTTCGTATTTCATTCGCACATGATTTTTATTTTTAGCATATTGGCGCTTATTTTACCCTCTAATGTGTATATTCAAATTATCTCAAGCCTTTTTTCCTAATATTATTTTGGGAGTGGTAATTTAAATTTTTCTTTAATTTAATAAAATTTGGCTGCACTCTTTATAAATTTACAAAAAAATATTTTGTAAATTTACAACAAATTTATTTTAATTTTTTCATTTTTGTCACATTCAATTTAGCCATATTTCACTTTCTTCTTGCCTAACAATTTAATCATAGAACATATCCATTCTAATTACAATTTTATAAAGTTACCTGTTAGTCTCTAATGATATTCTCTTACTATATGATACTATGATGCAATTATATCTTAACTGTCTAATTTTAACTCTGGAATTTATGCTCATATCTATATTTCCATTTATATCATTCCTCTTGCTTTAAGAAACTATTGCTTTCTATGAGTGTGAAATGTTTTAGATGTTCAAATGAATGATCTACCAACTTCATAATCCATAATTGTTTTTAGTGGGATTTGCACAACATACCACACAATTCTTATGAATTTACTTATCTAACATTTAAACTTTAATATTTGTTTAAGTAACACCCAAATCCTTAACATCACTAACTAATAGTAACTTTTTAAAAGTTAATTACACCTTTTCTGCTTATGTTTCAATATGAATACTACACTAAAAATGTTTTATATGCAAATACCAAACTTTAAGTATTAGCTATGCAAATGCAAAAGAAATGTATTGTATATATATAAATTTCCCTTGTTTTTATTAGTTATCGCTGTAACTGAAGTTCTTAGGTTAATTGTTTGTCTTCAGATTTATTTTGGTCATCCCTCCCACTTAGCTTCTCTTTCAAATGAGTAATAACTATTAGGCTTGCAATTTAAATTTAGTAGATATATTATGATTCCCTCTCATGAACTTCCCAGAACCTTTTTGAGGTCATCAGCAGATAAAGTGCCAATGAAGTCCAATATGCGCTTATCACTTCGTTGCCGTCTACTTAATAATGAATGTTAGACCACACCATGAAAATAGGAATATGAACTTTTTGGATCTAGAGATCTGATTGTTTTTTCAATGTGGGATACCATCTTATGGTTTTTTTATCTGCATTAGAAAATGTCAGCATCAATGAAACAAAACCTGTTAAAGAAAAAGGAGAATCAATTATTTGCTTCTTATTGCTTCTATATAAAGGAGTTCTGCGGTTGAGGTAGAAATCTGCTACTGTGATGTTTTTGTATTGGAAATTCTAAGTGTCAAAATAGTCCCTTAGCTACTTACACAGGGCCATTTTAGTCCTATAGTATATAAAAGTGTCAAATTAGTCTTTTGAATTTTATATATATATATATTGTCCTTGAGGCGAATAAAAGAAAATTGATGCAGAATCAAGCACCTCTGTCTCCTCGTCACACACTGTCAGAACTTGTAACATTCGATTCTCACAACAATGTCACTAGGCAAACTTTTCATCACATAGAAAACATAATACCCTTTTGCTTGCTTCACCTAAGCTTATCTTTGTAAGGCTCTTGAAGTTGACCGTTGGACGGGCCCCCATATTCTTCTTATTCTACTTCTTTTCCTGAAATGATATTGTATGGGTTCTCGATGTCATGGTCGTCATGATACTCTTATATAATTATCTTATAGTGTTGCTTCTATTGACATTCTTCATCTGGTTCTTGTCCTCTATTATTTGGGTTAACTCCATCGTCTCCTACAATCCCTGCAGTCTCAACAGTCGGAGTGTTGTACTTATGTCGGGCTTTTTGCCCTTCATGAAATTGCCCTCCAATATTGCTTCTGAAATACCCCTCAGTTGTCCCAACAGTTGCTCAAATCTCTTTCTATACTCCATGAAAGTCCCTTCATGCATCAATTCCAAGAATTGCTCTTGTAGGTCTCCTTCCAGAATGGCTCGGAAACATTCCAAAAAATAATATTTAAATTCTTCCCATTTGAAACCATGTTAGGGCTTTTCCCTCCAACCGTAACCCTGTCATCATGAGATTTTTCTTCTCATTTACACCATTCACCTTAAAATGTTGCTTTACCCGGTGCACCCACCCACGTGTGTCTTCTCCCTCGAAAATCAACATCTTCAACTTCCTAACACTAATGTCTTCACACCAACTTCTCTCTCCACTGTTTTGCCCCATGTATCAAGGGTGAAACTCCGTCCTTCGATCATAGCCATACACTATCCAAACTTCTCTCATTTCTTTTTCGTGCTACTCCATACCCTTTGCATAACCCCTTCTACATGTTTCAAACCAACTGACTCCATTGAAAATCTCCAATCCACACCCCATCAGAACTCTGGGAGGAGGTTCTTGATGGTGGATGCTTCCTCCTCATGTTTCTCTCTCCTGATGTCTTCCCCTTTTGATTTAGCCAATGAATCTCCGGTCATCCCTTGGTTAGGATTTGCAAACTAAACCACTTGTGAGGTCTTGTGTTGCATCTCAATAAACCTCCTTATCATCTCCTTCAAATTCTCGAATCTATTGTTAGTGGAGGAAAATATTTCCTTTATCCCGGATTTAAGTTGTCACCTCTTCCTCCAATTTCTTCTCCAAACCATTTATTTTATTGGTCTCCATTATACCTAAAAAGTTATTTTTGATCACGAAGGTGGCACACTTTTAAGCCGCGATCCCGTTCGTTTCTTCTCATTCCTCAAATCAAGTATGTATCGCGACCGGGGCACTTACCTGTATGTCACGATGCTTCCCAGCTAGCTCCAATCACGACTGTAAGGGTTATACACAATCCCGTTGTTAACTAGACTCATGATTGTATCATGATATTCGGGGTCCCTGTAAGCAGAGCAATCCTTTTGTCGACTTTTCTAGCCAGCTGGAATTGTCATTGTACTGTGACTATAGGTACATGTGATCCCAACATCACTTCTTGCTGCGATCCAATCCTTCCTTGGCTTCACAGGCGTTATGTGATACCTTACGCGGTGTGATCATTTCGTTGGCTTGCAACTGTGTTGTGAGATTCAGTCACGAAGGATCCTCTTTCACGGAATTCTTATGAAAACACTGCGATCTTCTCAGGATCTAATGCTCTGATACCATTTGATATGATCCAAATAGATTTTTCATAGAAATTAGGGCACAAAAGATATTTTTCTTTTTTTTCACAAACACTAAACAACACAATTTTGAGAGGCGGGCGATATCTCCCAATTCCTACAATTCAAGAGATAGAAAATCTCTACCAAACCCTAAACCTAAGACTCGAAACGCATTCTTCTGCATAATCCTGACCCTAAACACACTAAACAATAATAAATGACAAAAGACTAAATTACTCATTGACGAATAAAAGACAAATTTGTCCTTAGGTGCTAATCTAACATCTTTATACTATTTTAATATTAACTGAAGTAGTTTCTCGAAAAGTCTATTTTAGTCCCCAAAAATGAGTCTCGAGACTAAAGTAGCACTTTTATAAAATCAGGGATTAAAATAGCTCCTTGAAAAGAATCCGGAGATTATTTTGACACTTTTCTCAGAAATTATTTTCTCATACTCTGACTTTGCTGCTGGTGTGTAGGTATTGGAGGGCTAGATTACCAACCATATTCTGTTTTCTTCGCAAAACTCTTGATCTATTTCATTTTCGTTTGTTTCTTTTGCACTTATGAATCTGTAAATATGCATTCTTCTCTTGATGCAACAAGTTTTTAAGGATATTGTGCTGTCTGTTCTGGTTACTGATTTTCAGCTTTAATTTGGTTTTTGAACTTCAAAGCTGCTTGTCAATCTTTTGGAAATAATTTCCCTTTTATTTGATGCAGTCATGCAATTGTATCACCATCCATTCTCGCTGGACAGTCAGAAAGTACGGCTAGTATTAGAAGAAAAAGGCATCGATTACACATCATACCATGTAAATCCTCTCACCGGCAAGCACATGGATTCATCATTTTTTCGCATGAATCCTTCTTCAAAGCTTCCCGTCCTTCAAAACGGATCTCACATCATTTATCAAGTCATCGATATAATCCAGTAGATCGCTCATCCCTTCTTTCAAATTACTTTCCATCAGATTCATTTTATATTTTCTAAAGAGTCAAGTGCCAGCATAGTCCCGACTGTTTTCATGAGGTCATTTTAGTCCCAGTCGATAATAGTGTCAATTTAGTCTCTAAAAAATGTTAATATAGCCTCAGTTAAAATAATCTAGTGACTAATTCGACATTTTTATAAACTCTGGGATTAAAATGACCTCCTGTAAACATTCAAGGGACTACTTTGGCAATTTTCTCATTCTCTAAAAGAAGATTGTTATGTTTTAGGTACATAGAGAGAGTTACCGTCTCCTTGAATGGTGTTGACAGTAGCATCAACGAAAAAGTTATGCTATGGATGCATCAAATTGAAGACTGGAATCCTAAGATTTTCACCCTCTCTCACATTCCAGTTAAGTACAGGCTCTTTGTTTCTAGATTTGTGAGGAGGGTGGTGATTGCTCGAATGGCGGATGCCCCTGATCTCGCCAGTGTCTACCACGCAAAACTGAGAGAGGCTTATGAGACAGAAAGCGAGTTGTTGGATTCAGATATAGTGGAACAAAGTGAAGAGAAACTGATTAAACTCCTTGATGAAGCCGAAACACAGTTGAACGAGACGAAATATCTAGCCGGCGATGAGTTTAGTTTAGCTGACTCGATGTTTATTCCAGTTTTGGCACGGCTCACGCTGCTGAATCTGGAAAAGGAGTACATCTTTGGCAGGACAAGATTAGCAGAATACTATGATATGGTTAAACATAGATCAAGTTACAAGGTGGTGATTGGGAGATATTTTTCCGGGTGGAGAAAGTATAGAACGTTGTTGAAGACTATCTGCTTTTTGTGCATTAGAAGCATGTTTAGAAAGTACTGAACGTGATTCAAAGATCCAAGGGTGTAAAATGCACTGTCTATATGTGTAGTTAAAGATTGCAGCATTTAAAATTTGGCATTGAGTTAGTTATATCTGCTAAATAAGGAAACTGGAAGGTTCAATCAGGCCAGGTTTCTAAATTTACCGGCTCTTGAAAAAATCGTTTTCCTTCTTCTTTGCTGCATGGCTTTCATAAAATCTGTAAATTTATTATCCGAGATGAAAAGGAGCTTTTTTTATGTAAAGTTGCCATCTTTTGAAAGGGTGGCTGTTTATTTCGCAAAAAGATTGGTGTTTTACTGCACTATGATACGTTCGTACATTTGTCTTCTGGTTTTTGCGCACTTGTTTTTTATTGTTGTGTGGATGATTTATCTGACTTTCCATATGAAAAAGCCACACTTTTGTATAAAAGGTATCATCTCCTTCATTGAAATCCCAGTAAATTGTGCAAATATGGATGATTTAAATCATGAAATTACTGAATGTTCCTATTTTGAATTTTCTTTGCAATTTTCTCGTCTGTTCTCAACTCGATGCCATCAGTATTAAATTTCAATTGAACTGTGATTTTCTTGTATTCCCATTTAATTTTACTAATGTTTGGGAATAATGAAAGTTTATTATGCAAATGTGAACATTTTGGCTGATAGCACAGTTTAAATGCCATACACACACTCAGCACTTCTAATATTGGTTAAGTCATATCTTTTTTGCCCTATAGGTCTGAATAAATCTGATTTACAATTACTTAAATTATGTAACTGATTTAGAACGGAAGGTCTTGTATAAATGCCATGTGACCAAGTAGTGATAAGATGCATCTTATCCAACTTTCTTAAGTCATCGTGGTCCATCATACTTGGTTAATTACATGATTCATTGAACCATATCTCCGGATCTCCAACACCTGTCAAATATTTGTCTTTCACTCTCTCTCTGTGTGTGTGTGTGTGTGTGTGTGTGTGTGTGTGTGTGTGTGTGTGTGTGTGTGTGTGTGTGTGTGTGTGTGTCTCTCTCTCTCTCTCTCTCTCTCTCTCTCTCTCTCTCTCTCTCTCTCTCTCTCTCTCTCTCTCTCTCTCTCTCTCTCTCTCTCTCTCTCTCTCTCTCTCTCTCTCTCTATATATATATATATATATATATATATCTGACAATGTTGTGTGTTCGTAAATTTGTGGTGGTAGGGTGATATATTAACGTCTAGTGTTGTATGAAAATCTAACACACATACACTTCAATATAAATTATCATAATGATACTAGAAGTTTTTATGTGGAAAACCTAAAAGGAAAAAAACCATGAGGTTTAGCTTAGTTAAAATAGTTTCATTATATCGATGTAGGTTACAAGACTTTACCAACATATGACTGGCCGAAAGCAATATTGCACGAATGGGGTTTTCAACTTGACCTCTGCTAAGAGAGTGGTGGGATATGTTGACAAAGTGGCGACAACCTAACTGTTATGAAGGAAGACTGGTTGTAGAGGTCGAGTGTTAGAAAGTTTGATGGTAGCATCATCAATAGCGGCGGTGATAGTGACGGTTGCACAATAGAGGTTCTATGGTGGCAACGAAGTTATTCTGGCGGCGACAACGGTCAAACAGTTGTTGTATGATTCGGTAATGGTGACTTGACACTGGCAGTGACTTGACAGAGGTAGATGTTTGTCGGTGGTGGTCAAGCAGTGGTGTTTTCTCAGTGATGATAGCTAAATGTGGTGGTTCGTTGGCTCAAGGATGGTGGTCGGGTAGCAGTGAACTGAAGACAAAAGATCAAACGTCGGTGGTCCGATGGTGGTGACGGTGGTCTTGTAGCGATGGCCATGGTTAGACGAAGGTGGTCGGGTAATGGTGGTCCGTTGGTGGCGGAGACCAAAAGGTGGTGGTCCGGCGATAGCGTTGGCACGAGCTCTGGTATGCGTGCGAGCGCAAATTGTGCCTACCTCGCCTAGTGCTAGATTTCAGGGAGTTTTGGTAATTTTTTTCAAAATTTAGAGATTTTTTCCTTTTTTTTCCTATTTTTAAAAGAAAATAAATATGTGATAATGAAAGTTTCAAAAATATCCAAAATTTTTGAGATATTTTTTTTCTCTTTTGCATTACTTTTAATAGGAAAAATATAAATTCAACAAAAAATAGTGATACTCCTTCCAAAATTTCCTTACTTTTTCCCCGCTTATTAGGATGTATAAATTCCTAACGCTGAGGTCTATGGATAACACACCTATTTTCCTTCTGGCTTGTATTCCAGATGGCGAAGTCAGGTTTTTACCTTGCAAATTAAAATGGCTAGCTATTTCATTGGATTGATCAAATTTGAAGGCGGTCAAAACCAATGATCCTACGATGAGACAACTATCATCCCTTAAAAGATGTGTTGACCAATCGCAATGAATAGATCGGGTTGGAGGCGATCAAAACTCGTAGTCTTATTGTGAATCAATTATCTCCACTCGAAGAGGTGTTTATAGACCTCATCGGATATACTGTATTGGAGGCGATCGAAGTCCGTAGTCCTACAGCGAGACATCTGTCTTCCCTTAAAAAAAATTATTGGCCAACCTCATCGAACACCTAGTTGGAGGAGATCAAATTCTTTGTTCCTCGAGATATTGCTTCTCATCTCATTAGAAGAGTTACCGTTCCTCAAGTTTGACAAGAAGCTAGAGTAATGGTGGATAAAGTAGGGGACAATGATCGGCGTGGGCTTGCAAGGTCACAGTCAAAGGGACACTTTTCAAAAAATTCTAAAGGTTGAACAGGTCCTTTGATTCCTTCTTGCTTGATGCATATTATGAACTTTTTTGCTTCTTATGTTGTATGTGTACCTTTATCATTTTTTTTGTCTAAGTAACATTTCCTTCTTTTCTTAGATCATTTATGAAAAATCACTCCAAAGACTGTCCAATGTATTTAGTAAGCATTGGGGGCGAGAGAAGACGCTTGAATGTTGTGGTACAGAAATCAACTTCTAGATCTGTTACCTCCTTTATATGCTTATATGTTTATTTAAATATGTGCATACCATATTTTTTTTATAGGAGGGGGCGGAAGAAACTTAGCGGTGTGACCATGACAGATGATATTGCCTCTACTATCACGATAGAGCGTCTAATAGTGCTCGCAAAAAATTTTATTTTTCAAATGTATAGTGGAACTTAAGTTCAAAATGTCTAAGCACATACAGAGTCGATCCTTTAAGATAATAACACTAATGCTTGGCTCGCTGTTTTGAGATTTTAAAATTATATGTCTCGTTTGCAAGAATTTTTTGTGGTGCGTCGTTCGAAAGAGATGGATTTGTCCTTTTTAAACTCATATTTACTGGAATATTAGTTGCCGATAAAGTACCTAGGTGTGTCAAAAATTGACCCGACACGCCACCATGACTCGAAAAATCCGGGTTATGGTTGACCGAATATTTTTCGAGTTCGGTTTAGGTCAAGAGAATTCATCCTGTTATTATTCGGATCGTGTTTGGGTTGACCTAATTCTGGTAGGGTCATTTTCTGGTTGAACCTGAACCCCACCTCACTTACCCGAATCGACATCCTTATGTGTCAAAAATTGACCCAATACGCCAACACGATTCAAAATATTCAGGTTAGGGTTGACTCATGCATTTTTCGAGTCGGGTTCGGGTCAGAGAATTCTACTAGTTTATTACTCACGTCTGGTTTCAAATAACTCGATTACGGTCGGGTTATTTTTAGGTCGGACCCAAATCCGACCCGCAGACCCAAATTGACACATCCCCTAAATGTACATGCAGAGTGCGTATATTTTAGGGTGTATTTAGGGTATACTCAGGACCTCAAGTGAATACATCCTAAGATACACCAAATCCATATCAATCCGTATGTAATAATTTTCTCATTAACCAAGGACCCGTTTAGGAAGTGGTATATAATAATTACCAGTAAAATAAAATTTTAAAAAATTAATGTGGCAATATAAATTGTCTTCTAAAAAAATTTGAAAATCAAATTTATTACACTTTCATAGGTATTATCATGAAAAGCTACTTCTCATAATATACTTTTTAAATAATAAGAAAGTTATGACCAAATAAAGTTAAGGCTTTTTATATATATACCACAGAATTCTTATCCATATGCATATCTAACACTTAACTTCAATTTTTACCTTGCTACATTTTCCGGAAAAGTGAAATATATCTTTATATGCATATATGTAAAAATTGAAGTTTAGGTTTTAGATAGAGGTGCTCGTTTATATTTCGAGCTCAAAAAAGTGTGTTCGTGTCTGACTCAGTTGCTTAGCGAGCCGAACACGAGCCGTTCACGTACAAAGAGTCGTTTTGACAACCCTAATCACGTAGTCATTAAGATATTAAGGATTGGGGCAAGATTTAAAACATCATTTGAATTTAATTTAATAATTTTTATTCTATTTTCTTCATTAATACTTTTTATTGATTATAAATCATTCTAGCCTTGTAGTCAATTAAAATTTTAAAAAATACTACTCATTATATATAT